AGATATTGAAATATACAGTATATTTATAGAAAAAGCAAGTATATATGTATTGTCATATATATTAAATATATATATTAATGTTTATATTATTAAATATACATTTTAGAGGCATGGCGGCTTAGTGAAGTGGTCTAGTTGTCACTCTCTCCAAGCGGCAAGTATAGAGTTTGAATCTTACGGACAACGATTTTAAAAAATAAATTTGTATTTCGGTAACCTGTATAAGATAATTGGATTAGGGTATCTGTAACTTAAATCACACCAGGGTGTAGTATTCCTGGAAGATCCACTGCTATTCATACAACTAAGGAAACTCGAGAACTACAAAAGAATGCAAACTGGCTTAGGGTAATGCAAACTCTCAATAAGTCCAAGATTGTGTAAATTTTAGGAATCTCTTTTGTGTACAAGAACCTGCTTGGGAAGTCTTGAATCAAGATTAGTGGCTAATTTTCGACGGTACTACAGAGTAAAGACTATATTGGGAACTCAACCAGAGGTCCAGCAATCATAATCCTTATAGATGGGATTATACCAACCTGGCTATTGGAGGATGAGAGGACTTTACAAGCTAACTGGATTGGAAGAAGGGATGTCTCTGGAGCCGAACTCATGCGTCAGGAAATGTCGGTACTGGGGTTGGTTACAAACTTAATAAGAGCAGAAGTAAAGTAATAAAGGACTAATTAGGAAGGTTGTACTTGAGATACAGATTGTGTTATAGCAACATCCCAAAAGATAGCTTGAGATACGAACACAATGATGGCAGACAATATGTACTAATTGGGAAGTAATTACCAAATGAGCATGTACTATCATATGTGGGACATGTAATGTGATGTCAAGGATGATCAAGATAGTTCTAAGGCAGGTTGTAATATATATATAGTTAAAATCATTGTAAATATAATAAAATTCACCGACCAAAGAGGTTGTCTTAAAGAGAAAAAAAAAATAAATAAATATGCATTTTACTATACTATTTTAGTTAAAAAATAATGTGTTGTTTGTATGATCCTTTAGTGTTCAAGACATTACTTTTCTTCACTTATAAGAATATATTTCAGATACCATTTGTTCTATCAGTTTAAAATTTTTTTCAATATTTTTTATCCATTTAAAGTTTTTTTATTTTGTTGATCCTTAAGAATTTTCAGTGCATTTTCTGTTGCATTTATTAGCTGACCATATAACTCCTCATAAGTTTGTAAATTTTCATTTTTGATGATTTCAACATTTGATGCTATTTGAATAATATTTTCATTTTTGATAATTTCAAGATTTGATTCTATTTGAGTAATATTTTTGATAGTATTATTAGCTAATGCTAATGATATATTAAGAAATAGATATTGGTTATATCAGCAAACTTGATCAAAGAATTGTACAGTTACTGGCCCCTTTTGTTGTATAAGATGTTTGCATATAAAATAATGACTAGTTAAAAATGCAGGACATCCACATACCCAGTTTGAAACATTAATTGGATATATATTATTTAAT